ATACGAAACTGTGCAGACATGAGTTTTCGAGAAAGATCTTAACGGGAAAACGTGTTTTCCTTAAAATGGAAAATAGAACCATGCTATGCTTGTCCACTCTCTTTGGGTGAGTGGTCTAAGGCACGCTTGATCAAAAGGCGGTTTCTCTTACAAAGGGGGACGCAGGTTCGAATCCCTTCGTAGAGTACATTTTCTTGAGTGCGCATACTAATAAATACTAATAAATATAATACTCACCGTTTAAAATAAAAACGGATTGTCTATTTTAAATAGACACTACGTCTCCTAAATACTGCTAAATACTCCTAAATACTGCTAAATACTCCTAAATACTACTTCAATTAATAAAAGTTGGATTAAAAATATATATATAAATTCCCTGAAATTACCCAGATCAACCGAAACGCTGTAACAACAATAAGGATACTAGTCTGAGTATAATGATTATGGTAGATGTTAGGAGCTTTTTATATTAAATTATATTTTTAAAATGTTTAATCGTAATATTGTTAACAGACTCAGTGATGGTCAAAATTACTGACATGGTTTATGTTATGGTAAATTACCCATACACGGATAGACTCTTCCAAGTTACAAATAAAAGCAGGTGCTGCTTTTGTCAGAAGGTAGTTGACAGCTCTGACAGTTCGGACTTAACATTCTTGCTCGTTTGTATATTATTGTATTACCGATTTTCGTTAATATATTCGTTCACTCAATTCTTCTCCTTGTGTCTTTATTTGTGGTCCCAACAAGGCCTCAAAAGTTTAATAAAAATCAGTTTCTGTCCGTATAATTACATTTTAACATGGTAAATAAAAAGAAAAGGCAACATTTTAATAAATTTACTCTGAAAGAATTCCTTCCAAAAAAGTTTTGAAACTTATATAAACAATTTTGTCTTTGCTAAAATTTTTGATGTTTGATTATTTAATCAAACATCAAAAATTTTAGCAAAGACAAAATTGTTCGCACAGTTACAATTTTCTCATTTTAAAGCATGAAAATCAATCTGTTTATGAAAAGATCATTAATATGGATATTCTAGAAAATTCTATTCAAAATGCCTTTGATTAAAAAAAACAACAAAATTTTATAGGCAATTCAGATTTGTTTGTTATTCATGCATCAACTGGCACTATATCAAAAACAAAAAAAAAGCGTCGTCCTTAGAAACAGGTTTGTAATATGTTGGCATATCTTTATAATTTTAACTATCAGTAGGGAGAGGTTAGTTTTGATTTTACTTCATGCTTGTAAATGATTAATTTTTTCTCCTTTATTTTTATCCTGAAGGTGATCGTGTTCTTGTTCTGCTATCATAAGTTGTGATGTGTCATAAAAATGATGAAGCCTATAACAAGATTGACAGTAAGTATAATCTTTCTAAATCAATTGTATGTGTCGTTATCGAGAATTTGAAGAGTGGTGCTCTATCGTGGAAGTGAGTGTAAATGAATATTTTTTCAGAAAGAGGAAAACGCTGGATAGCGTGGTTTTCACAGAATAACCCTAGGATGACCACGAAAGAAATAACTGATGAATTAGAAGATGTTGGTGAAAAAGTTTCTAACTGAACAGTAGGTATAATGTTTGAAACAGGACCGTTGAAACCATGTTGTCCCTTTAAAGATTTCCCAATATGAAGGCATTTTGAAGTTTGTTGAAAATCATATTGAGAAGTGATATGAAATTGGGAGAAGATATGATTTAATGTAACAAAAATGCAGTTATTTGGCCATATCGACGTGCTACATGTTTTACCAAAGAACATGGTTCCTGTAGTGAACCATAGAAGTGGCAATTTGATAATTTGGTGATATTTTATAGCAAAATATCCTGGAAGTTTAATTAAAGTTGATGGAATCAAGAGGAAGGAGCAATACATTAAGCCACAACTTAAATGGTGATTTTATAAGCGCAGCTTTAGATGTGGTACAAGGTCGAAAGTATGAGGTACCCAGTGAAGATCGAACTCACTCGTAATTGTTTTAGCGAAACAAGCTGGTAACCATTACACCACGCCGAGATGCAAAAGCCACAATTTCAATGAATCTAATAGAACTGAATCAGAGACGTCGTTTCAGCTTCATTCAGAACAATAATCGTAAAAAGTAACTATATTATAAGGACTCTCAGTTACATTCTTTTTTATCTATATTTTATAAACTTCCAATACTTCAAAGGAATTTTTTACACCCTTTCTGGTGTCACAAATAATTTATTCCAATTCCAAACAACAAACTACATAGTTTCCCCTTCAAAGTAATCCCCACGAGACTAACACACTTTTCCATCCTTCTCAGCCCCGCTTCTATGCAAGAATGGCCCTTTTCAGGGCTACTACCCACTTCTATGCACTTCTTGGATGCCCCTCAACTCTGTCGTTACGGCCCTCTTCATGGCCTGCACGTCTTCAAAATGGGTCCCCTTGATGATACTTTTGAGTGTGGGGGAAAGAAAAATGTCACACAAGACCAGGTGAATAGGAAGGCTGTTCCATTACGGTGATGTTCTACTCGGCCAGGATTTACGTAATATTTCAAATGGAGCAAACTACTTAGTTACGTGATGACGTAGCTATAGAATTCACTCCAGTGATACCGTAATTACTATATAACTGGCTTAGAAAACAAAATCTCTAGAATTTAAAAGAAATACCATGCCGTTTGTAATAAAAGACACGGAACAGAATAACCCTAAATTAGGCTTTATTCCACACTATAAAACAGTTAGTACAAACAAAACTATATGACGATAAGCAGGGTGGGAGAGAAGAAATGTTCACCACAATCTCCCATGTTTCTAGAAATAATTAGTGCGGTTAGTCAATCAGTATTAAGGAAAGATTATATCCTATCCAGATTTATTTCAATTTTTAAGTATCTCCTTTATAACCTTATTCGATTTAAGGTAATCAGCAAAAGATTTACTCAAAAAAGGAGAATAAATATCCAAGAGTTATGATTTAAATAGCTGAAATAAAAAAGAAAATGTAAGAGATGAAAATTCAGCCCCCTTTGTATTTGTTTATTCTTGATAGACTTGTCACGTAAACATCATTTTTCATATGATTGTTCAAATATAAGAATCACATTTGAGAAATATTTCTTTTGCTGCGTTAAACCATGAAGACTCAGAAGACGAGTCTGACACTATAGCAAAGAGAAAAGCTCTTATCTGAATTTTTATTTGAAAGATTCATTGTTTGATCTATCAGGTTAATGGAGAAGCATTAAGTGCACTAACAAAGAAGGGATTATGTTGAAAATGAAATGTCTTAAATATATGTTTACATATTTAAATGTATATAAAGTAAATTCTTTTTTCATTCTAACTACAGATTTATTGATTGCTTATGTTTATCAATTCAAAATGGATTGAACTTATTTCCCCGTTTGTGCATGCACAAAAATCAAATATTTATTTAAAGATATTAACAAACTTTTGATTCAGTCATAAAATTATTAAGTATTGATAAACCTGTTACACCAACAGTCTTCCCTTTGTTCAAATATAAGAATCTCATTCGAGAAAATGTTGTTTCCACGTAAGGACGATTATTTGAAATCAGCGATGTCCACAAGATATTGACTAAAATATACAGGCAAGCCCTTCCTAATTAGAATATAGATGTAATTCTGTATTCCTCTGCTATTGTCATTTATTTGACCTTACGTCAGATTATATTACGAATGGCATAAATATGGACACATAATCTGCCTTGTAGATGAAGTAGTTGCATATTTTTCATCGGTGAACAGCATTTATTAAAATTTTTGTTCCTTCTCCTCAGAAATATACTTCTCCCAATATATGATTTCATCAATAAAAAAAATATTACTTTGTCTGAAGAAGTCTATTCGAAACGCGTCACATAAGATTTTTCATTTTGGTATTCAATTACTGACAGTTAGGATGATAAATAAAATTTATATCTCATATTCTACCGTATGAACTCATGTTCAAAAAAGGGATTTCAAATATTGGTTTTCAATTTGGGTTTTTTTCAATATAAGTAACCAGTGTTTGAACTCATTTCGTTCAGAAATTAAACAGTCCGCTGTGTACAGCCACATTCTCAGATCAATGATTAAAATGGCTTTGAGCAAATGAAACCTCTAGGTCTCAACGACGACCATATTACTTTGAACCTTTGAACTGGTCCTACATACAGAATCATAAAGAACTGTAACAAATAACAGAAACCACATCACTTGAGGACTTTCAACAGAAGTCCGTCTTTAAACCTCGGAGGCTGGCGCTACAGAATCACAAACAAAGAACTGTATCAAATAGAAACCACATTATTCGAGGACTTTCAACAACAATTCTCTTCAGTACACCAGTATTTTTCTTAGTATTCTATCTACCTCAATGGTTCTGTCGTCTGGATGGTCCAATTTTTACTTTTTCCTAGATTCTTTCGGAGAGTTTCTAGTACACGGATAACAATTGATACGACTGCTACCATTATGTTCCACAAATTGTCGCTATTATTATTATTGTTCATTAGGTTTACCCACCATTGGTAACTAATGTCGGCTTACACTGAAGCTTAATTCTTAATATTAATATTGTACCTATTTTCAATAATGCTTCCCAATTCTTCCACTAATTTCCAGTTCCACTTTTTTCGAAGATTCTTTGGAATCGTTCCCAGCAACATGTTTAGATATTTTTTTATCATTTCATTATCTTTCAGATCTAATCTCTAGTCTGACAGTTTCCAGGGGATCACCATCTTTACCCAGTCATATTTATTCCTTTATTCTTTCTTAGCAAACATTCTACATTTGCTGATTATAATAATTATCATAATTTTATCATTGAGTATTCATACTAGTTACCTATACTAGAGCTTAAGTAACAATAAGTCTTCTCTATAATCCACCCTCCTCTTATTATTTTTTCACTAATGCTTTCGTTTGGATGGTTCCAATTATTCTACTTTCCAGTATCTCCGGTAATTTTTCAGCATTCTCTGACATCTTTCCCAGCCATATGTCGAGATACTTATTTATATCTACATTTTCTTTCATATCTACTCTTATTTCTGTCGGCTCCCAGTGTCTCACCTTCCTTACCTACTCATGCCTGTTATTCTATAAATCTCGTACCAACCTTCTACATTCTCTGATTATTATTATTATCATCATTATATTTCGATTTCTACAATAATCATACTACCTATCGAGTCTGCGGGTAGACCTAAGGCAAGTAGTTGCGTATTGTTATGGCTATATTTCATGATTTGTTTTTCTAACTCCCATAACATCATGGGCAAAGTTCTTCTTAGTGTGCGGGCTGTACTTATCAATACCATTTTTGTATTTAGTTAAGCTGGGATTTCTAGGTGTTTTTGCAACGTGTTGTTGTGTTCCTTTTTTATCATTTCAAGCGCACCTACTATGACTGGTACGATTCTTGTTTTCAATTTCCACATTTTTTCTATTTCGATAGTTTTTCAAATTCCTTGCTTGCTATGTTACAGTCCGTTGGGCAAACCATATCAATAAGTAGGTAGACTTTTTCTTTTCGGTTTTTGAAAATTATATCTGGCCTATTTGATTCAATCTTCGTATCTGTAAAGCTGGTGTAATCCCATAGATTTGTGATAGCTTCTGTTTGTGTAACCGGTGATGTTCATATCAGTGTTTATTAACATCTTTTCCAAAGTGTTTGCGCATTGTCTAGTATAAGTATTGCTCGACTCTATCGGGGCGATTTTTATATTCGCTTGGCGCAAGTATAGTGCATCCTGAGATTAGATGGTCTATGGTTTCCTGATATTAGTTGCAAAACCTGCATTTTGGATCCACACTATTATGTATGATATTTGCCTGAAAATTTCCAGTGAAAAGACTCTGGTCTTGCACTGCAAGAATAAAACATTCCGAATCAATCTTTAATCCATTAATCCAGTTACCATCGTTGAGTGTTAAATTTATCAAATCGTCTTTATGAGCACGTTCTGGATATTGCCCATGAAGAGATCTGTCTTGCCAGCGTTGTTTCATCTGTTCAAGATCTTTATCCATGGCTTTCTTTTCATAATTTTTGCTGCAACACTTGGTACTTGGGTTCTGTTTTGGTTTTCTACAGAATCATTGAAACAAGCAACTTGGTGAAAGGTAGCCTGAATTCTCGCTAGTGACCATGAGAATGAAAGCGGACGAACGTGATCGCTTGCTGCCATAAGTGAGTATAATTCGTTTTTACCAAATGCTGGACAAAGTGTGCTCGCTCTCTGTCCGTCCGTCCGTCTGTCTGTCTTGTCTGTCTCTCTGTCTCTGCATTTGCGAACCTACCTATTCTATTTTATTTTATTTTTTTATTCCCCCCGTCTGTTTGACTAATTTAACGTATTTATTTGTGTTCTAATTATTCTAACTTAATTTGTAACCTTATATGTTCATCTATTTGGAAATTCCTATTTGAAAAAAAAAAAGTCTTTGATAGCAAGTGAAAGTCACGTCGCCAGTATTCTTATGTTCTAGTGGCCGTAATCTTGCGAGATATAAAATCCCAACGTGGAATGGTTTAGCCGTCTCTCTTTCCCCGTTTTCAATTTGATTGTAAGTGGGGTGGGAAGAATGCCCGTTGGAACCCCCATACTCTGTGTTCATTGAAACAAGCAGCTTGGTGAAAGGTAGTCTGAATTCTCGCTAGTGACCATGAGAAGGAAAGCGGACGAACGTGATCGCTTGGTTTTATGACATATCCACAAAGCTGGATAACCATATTTTTTTTTATTCCTTTTTTTTTTTTTTAGAATAGGACAATGGGACTTATATTAAGTTAAAACTTAGTTTAGTGAAGGTGTCAATTGCAAATAAAATAACATTCCTTTCCCCCAGTACGTACGTCTCCTAGTGTCTGCCTGGACACTTTGTCAAATACCTCCCCCCTGTTCTTTTCTGTTGGTGTTATTGCTGTTGTTGTTGTTGCTGTTGTTGTACGTGTCTTATGTAATAGGAGTAGGTAGGCTCGCCTACCGGCCGGTCAGTATTCCCCCCTCTTCCTTTGGACAAGTTTAGAGGCTCACACCTTGTTTCTTGTTTAGGAAGGGGTTCCTGGAACTCTCTCTCTCTCTCTCTCCCTCTCTCTGGCCTCTGTACAAGTGCTGCTGTTTTTCTCCCGTGATGTGTGCAGTCTGTGGCAATACCTCTTCATTTTGAGGGTACACGGCTGACAGTTCTCTGGTTGCTGTTTCCGACTGGTAGTTAGGAGCCCTAACGCTTGCGTAGCGTCTTGAGCAGTCGCTCTGATCAACAGTTGTATAATACCGGGGTGTCTGTAGTGCCATGTCGCGCATGGAAAGGTGTCCCTGCAGTCACCTCCGGTGGGCAACCCTGAGGCCACATTATGATGCAGGCTTTGCCAACTTCTCTCTGCCCACGTCAAGGTAGATAACTGTCTGCTACTTCTACTTCAGGCCTTCTCTTCTTCCAACCAGAATTCCACATGACGACTTAAAAAGATCGAAAAATTAAACCTAAACCAGCCCTTCAAAAATCACCTAAACCCTTCAACATTTCATTCTCCAACACCCATGGCATTAGAACCAATTTCTGCAGCGTGGAATCCTTCCTCACTGGAAACTGCCAGGATATCCTGACTCTGTGTGAGACCAACCATGACGCGTCTATCCCCTCCCCTGATCTCTCGGTTCCCGGCTACCTCCTTCCCCGTAGAAAAGACTCTTAAACCCACATGCACGGCCTTGGTGTTTACGTCAAGGACCATCTCCCACTCGCCAGATTATTCGTAATTGTATCTCCGGCTATCTCTTGTCAATGCCGTAAGCTATCTATTCTTCCTTTATCGCTCTCCATCCTCTCAAGACAGTGGGATACTCGATAGCATTTCTGACAGCATAGACAAGGCTCTCTCCCTCCATCTGTTTGCTCACATATTTGTGTTTGACGATTTCAACGCCCATCATACCAAGTGGCTTAAGAATGCTACTACTGACCACGCAGGCATTCAAATACTTAATTTTTCAATTTCTCAATCCCTCACGCAGATAGTTGACTTCCCCATGCGTTTTGCCTATAACCGGGGCGGTAAGGCCTCTCTTCTGGATCTGTGTTTTACCGCCATCCCCGAGTCTTGTAGAGCCCCACAGCTCTGCCCTCTTGGTAACTCCGATCACGCTCTGGTGTAGGTCAACATCTCCTTCATGTCCACCCCCTGCAAAGAACTTTCTACCTCTAGAACCTTGTTCTGCTATCAACGAGCTGACTGGGACTCGTTCCGTGATTTCCTCCGCGATGTCCCCTGGGATGTTTTCTTTACGCTCCCCGTTCAAGAATGTGCTTCTGAGGTCTCCTCCTGGGTCAAAGCTGGAAATTTAAGGTCAAATCGCGCTCCTCCCCCTGGTTTTCTGCTGCTTGCTCAGCTGCCATTGCCCATAGGAACCACTTCTTCCACCTCTATCGTAGCGATATGTCTGACTGCAATAGATGTCTCTTTGCCTCTGCCTGTAACGAGTGTAAGCGTGTCCTCAACGAAGCTAAGTCAGTATTTGCTGCTCGACTGAAGGAACGTATTGCTTTTCGCAAATTCGGCTCCAAGGATTATTGGCATCTCTGCAAGAGCATACTAAACAGTAGCAAACCCTCTATACCTCCTTTGTTCAACCAGTTTGAGGTCCTGACCTCCTCTGCCGACAAGGCTGAATGCTTTGCACGGAAATTTTCTTTCAATTTAACACTCGACTCTTCCGGTGACCCATATCCGACTTCCCTCTTAGAACTGAGGCCCTATTGAGCGACTTGCACATAACCCCGTCATTGGTATTGGGCATTATCTCTAATTTAGACCCCCACATGGCTAATGGTGGAGATGGGATACCAGCCATTGTCTTGAAGAAATGTGCGCCTGTACTGACGCCTGCCCTCTCCAAATTATACAACTACTGCCTCAGGGAATCTTGTTTTCCAGACTGTTGGAAGTCCTCATCGATTTTCCTGTCTACCCCTTCTAATTACCGTCCTATCAGTCTCCTTCCCCTCTTCGCCAAAGTCTTCGAAGCTTTAATCAACGCCGAAGTGGTTAACCACCTTACATCCCATAACCTGCTCTCAGACAAGCAATATGGCTTCCGCTTTGCCCGATCTACAGCTGATGTGCTTACAGCGATCACTGAAATTGTCTACCAACCTCTTCAGAATAACGGAGAAGCTCGTGCCGTGGCCCTAGACATCTCCAAAGCGTTTGATAGGGTTTGGCATGCAGGCCTTCTTCGTAAGCTCCAGGGTTATAGTATTACAGGTCGATTGTTTGATCTAATACAATCATTTGTATCAAACCGTGAATTGAAGGTCGTTCTCAACAAAACAAAATTGCTCTATTAATCACTACAGAGATCTTTCCCTGCCCCCCTCCCCCATTAGAATTTCTGACGCTCAACTTCCCGAGAGCACCTCTCTGCGGCTGCGCGGTCTCACCTTGTCTCCTGACCTGAGATGGAACAAATACATTGTGTCAATTGCTTCTTCCACCGCAAGGAAAGTTGGCTCCCCGTGACGCGCTAGGAAATTTTTCTCCCCGGAATCGATCCTTCAAATCTACAAATCAACCATTCGCCCTTGCATGGAGTATTGCTGCCATATATGGTCTGGAGCCCCTACTGTTTGCCTCGGGGTTCTTGATAGGCTCCAGAGGCAGATATGCAATATAATTGGCTCTGGTCTGGCATCTCGTCTGCAGTCGCTCTCTCACAGACGCGCCGTCGCCTTTGTCTGTCTTTTTTTACAAATACTTTCATGGTAATTGCTCCGAGGAGCTGCTTTCTCTAGTTCTCAGACTTCATGAATTCAAGTGCCCTACGAGGCTGGCATCCCGCTCTCACCCTTTCACTGTTGAAACTGTTAAATGCAGCCGCCTCTTCTACTCCAATAGCTTCATATCTCGCACCTCTTGCCTGTGGAACTCCCTTCCCTATTCTTGTTTCCCTGATAGCTATAATCTCCAACTATTCAAATGTAATGTCAATCGACATCTCCAGTTGCCTTGATCTATCCACTATCCTTCTCTTCATCATTTCCTCTATCATTCCTACCTGCTCTCGCTCCAAATCCTCTATAAACCC